AGTGGCAAATAAGATCGATTGTTCAACCAGTGGTTCATTACATTTTGTTTAGCTGTTAGATTTTTTTTTTAAGTAAGTCAAGTATTTTTCTTTCCTCTCTGTTACTATGCAAACTTTATTCCCACTTACAGTCACTAGGATTCTTAGAGTCATGTATTGTGTCTTCTATATTTTACTCTCTGGCTTAACATTCTTGATATCTTGATGACATGATCAATGGGCATTATTTTCTTCAATTTCTTCACCATCCTAATAAGCCAATTTTTCTTTTGAGACAAGATCTAGCTGTATAGTCCAGGCTAGCCTTGGCCTCACTATGTAGCCTAAGTGCTGGGATCACAGGCATGTGCCATTACAGCTGGCACTTGAAGCCAATTCTGATGACGTAGTGATCTCCTCAGACACTGAGAGCTGAGCAAATGAGTGGTCTGATTAGAGTCAGAATCAAATATCACACACTTACTGGTATTATCTGGCATGAGCTTTGTTTTCATTGGAAGCCCCGTTATTGTCTCATTAGTTTCGGTGAATATTTATTCAATTAAATCTTATATTCTTTCACATGAAGAAACTTTGTTAATTTTGCATTTCACTTCATGGAACTGGCCAGAGCTTTACTCATATCTCTGCAACATTAAAACTTGTTTGAGGACATTTGAGGTGGAATTCTAAGAAAACATAGTTCTCTTTCTGATTACCTGTTTTGGCATGCAATATAATTGTTATATTTCTTGGTTTTATCTCCTTTAGAAATGTAATGCACTTAGATATTTTGGTTTATTGTATACAAAATAAAAAGTGCTCATTTAATCTGAAGAATCTCAGCTTCAATAGTTTTCAATTTGCACAAATGGTGGTTCTCAAATGTCATTAAAATTTTACCCCATGCCCACTCAGAAATACTGCAGTAAAGAATTAGGAAAGAATTCACTGAGAAAACGATGTTAAGGTTCAACCCTGAGAAATGAATACATTTAAATAGGCTAGGAAAGAGGCAGTGAGAATGTTAATGATTTTGATTTTATAAGAATTGTAATAGGAAATGCAAAACTTTTAAGCAAAGGATGAGAAAATTAGATCCGCATTTGATCTGAATCTTTGAACACACTATTCTGGATGCATTGGTTGGAATTGAAGGAAGGAGATGCATTGACTAAGGCCAGATAGGACAAGACTGCCAGAGATGAACCAAAGCGGATGGACTGGAGGGAAGTCAAGAGGTCTGGGAAAAGGATTATATGAAGCCAAAAGGAAAGGCGTCAGAGATTATTTCTAAATTTCTGATGAAGGCAACTGGATTGCTGGTAGTATCACCAATGAAGATGGGTAACTATGGAAGAAACCCTGCTTTAGGTTTGGAGGAGAAAGATACAATCAATTTATTTCCAATATGCTGGTTTTGAGATGAGGTATCTTAAAAAGCTATAAAAAGATACATATCCTTTTGACCAAACTCATTCCAGATTTCTAAGACTCTGGAATATAACCAAAAACATATTGCAAAGGATGGGAAATACGAATGCAGTATTTTTTATTAACAGAAAAAATGGATATAAAGTCAATGCCCCCAAACAGAAGCTTTATTTAATAAACATTTATAAATTTATTAAATATAACATTTTTGTACTTATGCGGTTGTTTTAAAAACTATTTAGTGATACCTAAGACAATAATTATATAATGCTGTATAAAAACAGTTAAAGTACACTATACCTAAAATTATAACAATAAATGTGTCATGGTTTGTGTTTAGATGCCCACCCCAGAGCCTCATGGGGTTACAGGTGACTTTATGCTGGGATTACTAAACCAGTCCACTGATTGTTTTGGCACCGCCCTAATCCTGGGAGTCTGGATAAGATAAAAGGGGCAGAAAGACGCTGCTATGGTCTCCTTGTCACTTCTGCTACTGTGTGGGCACCATGAACTGTTTCTCCTCTGCGATGCCCCCTCTGCCATGTGCCACCCTGCCTGGGAGCCAGCTGATTATGGACTGAAACCTCTACAAACTGGGAGCTAAATAAACTCTTTCCCCTTTAACTTGGGGGTCAGGTATTTTGTCTCAGCAACAAGAAAAAAATAACTAAGACAATGTGTATGAAATAAGCAGAAAAAAATAAGAAATTGCTTGATAAGATGTTAGATTGATGTGCTTATAGTTGTTTATCTTAAAATTAGTAACATGCTTACAGTACTTATTTTTAATAAACTGCAAATATGAGTGCAAGTTTTGTTTTTCAAAACGTGAGTTTGTCAGCTTGTTTGTTTACTTAAATTAGTTAACAAACTAATACATGAAAATAAAAATTGTACATATTAATGGAGTAGCACGTATTGTTTAAAAACATAAACATTGGATAATGTTTAAATTAGGATAAATTAATTTTTCTCCTCAAGCACTTATCATTTCTGTAAGGTGAAAAATTACAAATCCTTCCTTCTAACTTATGAAACATATATCTTATTATCTGAAGTCACTCTAAGGTCCAATAGCAGACAGCACCTCTTGCTCCTGCAACTGTCACTAGCCCATCCATTGACTTCTCTCGGTCCCTCCACCTTCCTGAGCCTCCAGCTTTGGAAACTACCATTCTATTCTCAATTTGATAAGATTGATTTTTTTAGATTCCACATATGAATGAGATCATATGAGACTTGTCTTTCTGTGCCTGATGTATTCCGCTTTTTTTCATTTCCATCCATGCTGTTGCTACAGATGATAGGATTTTCCTCTCTATGGCTGAATAATATTCCCTTGTGCCTCTATACTGCATTCTTTGTCTATTCAGAAGCTGATGAGCATTTAGATCATTTTCAGTTCCTGACTACTGTGAGTAGAGCTGCAGTGAACATGGTAGTGCAGTTTTCTCTTCCACATGATAATTTCTATTCCTTTGAATGCACATCCAGCAGAAGGACTGCTGGATCATATGGGAGTTCTGTTTTCAATTTTTTAAAGATAGAATTATTTTTCCTAATGTTATAATATTTAAAACTTGCAACTTTTGCCCAAGGAGATTTGTAAGACAGTCTTCAAACCATTAAGATGCTCATTTTATGCCATTGAGGTATAAGATTGTCTACTTTATACTCACACGTGGTCGTAAGTGTCTTCGTGCTAAAAACAAGTCTTGGCTACTTTTAGTTACACTCAAATTAATTCTGTTTATTTGTTAATAAGACTGATAAATATGTAATTCTCATAAACTAAAATCTGAACTCAATGTACTGCATAGGTCTTGGGGAAATAGCTTGCATCATTCAATGCAGCAGTTCCAACTGAGACATGTTTTCAAATTTAGACACCTTACATTTTTTAATTGTAAAGAATTTGTTTTCAGGAATAAAGAAAAAGCTGAACTATATCCTAAACCATTTGATTCTTTGTTAAATGAGAATTTGAAATTGAAATTTTAATTAGATATTGCATCTTTAAATTTACTAAATTAAATACTAACTCAAGTTTATTGCATTCTTTCACTACGTTTATTAACATCAACAACACTGTTTTATTTTGTCAACTAGCATAAGTAGTTTATTACTGTGAATTTCCATTCTTTAGAAGATACTTAATATAATAAAAAAATCATAATGAAGTTTTCACAATCCAAATATATCATTAATTTTAAAGTCTTTGATAAGCTAATTTCACTCAAGGATGAAGACATAAAAATTTTAGTAAGCTCTCCATCAGCAATTTATGTGATGTAACTAATTATAAACACTGTGAGAGTTGGCAGATTAATATAATCAAGAAACATTTAGTAATTTGTAGGATATAGAACAGTAAATTCAATCTTTAAGAAACATTTTCCATATCTTGTATAAAAGCTCTATTTAACTTTGATGTCATATTTAAACACATGCACAAAATTTTAGTTAGATTTATTCAGAGCAGAGTTTTTGGTCAGTCTTTAGTGTTGCCTATGTAATACTTTTAAAAGTATCCTTACAGATTCTCCCAAATAACTAACATTAAAGAATCTGATGCAGTCTCTAGATCCCATTATCTTGAACCCTGGAGGAATAATTATTAACCGGCTGGCTGGTTATTCAATATATTGCAAATATTTGATGGACAAATGAGTTAAAAGCTGATATTACTACATATTATATATACTTCAAAAATCCAAGTATCTGATCATTTCTAAATGTGGATTATTCTGATGTACTATTAATTCAGATGGTTCTGAAGCTGTAATACATCCAGATGATTATTAATGCTTATAATGAGAAGAGGCAAAGGAGGGAGAGATAACAATACTGACTACCATGGTGTTAAAGATACAATGATATTCAGCTACTGACACATCACACTGCATTCTCTAGTTAGTAGTAATGATCAAAATTATGAAAACCATATTAAAATATAAGTTTAATCGATGCATGTTTTGGAATTTATGGTACAGTAAATTTAAAAATTACTTGTTGATTGGTTGAGTAAGGCAAATAGAACTTACTTTCCACTTCCCCCTCCAACAAAAGGAGTAAATTAGTAGTAAATTTGAAAGTATAATTTAATGTTTTTAAGAATGACCCTCCAAACTCAGAAAAACAACTTAGCCATAGTACATTTAAATTACATTTTCAATAGATATTAAATGTTATTACTATTATTCATCCCAAATTCCAGTTCTTACAATGCATACATATACCAATATGAAAATTGACCAAGAAGTTGAATACTCAAAAATAAGGCCTACAATATTTGGCAGTTCTTTGAGAAAAACAGAGTTAAATTTATTTAATATTGGGGGTCCCTTCTTATTCCTTTACTCCATCCTTATATGCCTATTATTTTTTAAAAATTGGTGTTATTTCATCAATTTCCTCTTTGCATATTTTACAAAGCTAAAATAAAAAGTCAACTCATTTCAATTTATTTAAACATTATGTCATCTATCCTGTATATAGTTTGTCACCAAATGACATAAACAAGCATGTGACCTGTAATCACCAAAAATAATTTTTAAAACTTAAAAGTATTTTAATGTACTTACTTGAAGTAAAAGAATATGCCGAGTGAGATAACCAGCGATGCAATAGATAATCCGTGTCCAATTATAGTCAGGTAAAACAAATTCAGTGCAGTCTGAAATTTGCATTAATAAATAAAATTAGACTCTTAATACTACACAAGTATGGATCATGTTACATGCGTGAGACATAAAATGCAATTGAAACTATTCTGGTTTTAAAGACATCTGATCCAGTACAATGATTTTCTTAAAGCCAATAAATACTTGAATATATCTGGAATGAAGGACATCAAACCTTATAAACCACATGACTTTTAAGAAGCTGGTTTAGGTTATATGGAACATGAAGCTACAATTTTATATTTAAACTCAAATGCTCCTTGATAACATGACTTGTTCAGACTTACATGCCAGCTAGTGCTCTCTTGCTCAATTGGATTTCCCTTTTTCCCCTGACAAGACTGAGGTTCAGATGCAAGTCTTAATACAGTCACTTCTAACATCTTATGATCTGTGCAACAGTTTTAACTTTTCCCTCTTTTTTCTTTTTCTCTTTCTATTTTACATTTTTTAACCTACCATTTCATGGTGTATTTTTATAATTCTCTTCCCACACTTGTCTGAATAAATATGGAATATGTAATTTATAAAAAAAGATACCTGGCAGTTATCAAGAGCTTACTGTATACTAGTCTTCTCCTTTCCTTGCATTAAGCAAATTCTTCTGAAAGCCATTCCAAAATCTATTGTCATTCAATTTTGCACATGAGTGGACCAAGCCAAAGAGACATTGAATGTCCTGCCCAAGGTCACACAGTGAGTACAAAGCAGAAACAGGATATCATATCCCAGGACTCAGTTTTAATCACTGTCACAAATTGCCTGAACATATACACTCAAGTGAAAATGTATGCGGACATTTTCTATGAAGCTTTATTATGGTGACCAATTATGATTGACGTTGACTTTAGCACCTGGTGCTCAAAGTGGGAACATGACAGAGCAATCTGACTTCCAGTAAGAATGAAGGCTTTCTCTTGAGGGACAGATAGTACCATTTAAGCCCTACTGAGCTTATCCTGTTTATTTAAGCACAATTTCTGAGGTAATTCTAGAATTCTTCCACAAGGGAAAATTACCCCTTTCCTTACACTCTTAAGGTATGTTTTCTTTGGAAAATCTGAAGGCCCAGCACTGAGACATTGACTTGTAAATACCCTATTACCTAACAGATGGCTCCCTCTGTGTAATGATGGAATCAATAATAATTCTTTCCACACATATTTTTCTTCATTGTTCTTTTCAAATTATATTATGAAATGGTTTTGTAACGGAATGGAAACCGACCAAATTTTCTCTGATATTGCATTAGACAACTCACTGCTAAAACAGATCGTGTGAATTCAGTTTCAACTCATGCTGATTACAGACCTTCACTTTGTCGGGCGTGTTAACATTACATTGGGTATAGTTTGTCCACGTTCTGTTGCTTTCGGGGTGTCTAAACCAGTTGCCGTCCTGGTCACAGATCTTTGTAACTTTCTCTGTAAAATGATAAAGTAAACCATAAGTTCATTAGCCCAGAGCCTATTAAATACATGTCCACTGTATATAGATTTCTGCTTTCACCTGAAGGGTCAAAGTCTTGAAAGTAATCAGGGCAGTGCTGCATGGACTCGGTCCCTGCAGCGACGTCACTCCAGCACAGCCACCCGTCCCACGTCCTGTTGCAGAAGATGCCTGAAAGATGCAGGAACAACGCGGGTGACTGCTGGCTCCCACGGCACGTGAAGACACACAGTCTTAAGATGGTTTCTCACTGACACAGAATAACCCTGTCTCTTGCAAATGAAGATCTTTCTAGCTCTTCCATCTCTTTTCAAGTCAAGTAGAATGCTGAGTAACCTCACATGTCTCTCCAACACTAAGAGAAAAAACCTTTTGCATTAAAACTGTAAGTGAAGTAATTCAGACACACAAACTAAGATATAGCATGGTTTCTCATATATGAAAAACTATAATATATATATGTATATTACAAAATAAAGGACAGCTAATAGGAAATAAGAGAGGAAAAATTATTTATTGTAATCCAGTGTGGAAAATGTATCTAAAAGTGTACCTTGATTTAGTACAATTGTCTCACATGTGTTATATGTTCTTTGGCCAATTAGTCTGGTTTGTAATCTGTACATATGATAATTAACTTTATAAGGTCTTATAAGATAAATAAATGAATCCAACGCTGGAAAAATAAGAGGGGGGTGGAAGGAAAGGGAAAAAAAGAACTGAAATGTGATATGTACACATATCAACTCCCTACAGTGAATGTAATTATTATGTACTGCAAACATGTATGAAAAAAATTAAAAAGTTCTTTTAACATAAAAAATAAATACATGTATAACTTTTTAAAGGCATAGAGAAATTAACTGATTATTGTTCCAATGTTTCAACAGTTTGTGATCAAAGAAGGTACTTTGTAACATTTTAAAAATAGAACCCTGAATACTACCTGAGATGTGTATTAATTTTAACAGATTGACACAGCAATCCTGAAATTAATCTCGCCCTCATGAACATAGAAAATTCCTCATGGCTTGAAACTAAGTGGGTGCAATTTTTCGAAAAGCACTTCAGATTGGATAATCACAATTTTCTCTCTCCTGTGACTTTTAAACAGTTATTTAAGTCATTTGCAAATACGTATTACTTAGTGAAGTAAATTTTGTGATTCAGGAGAGAAGTTATCTTAAATAGTTGTAGAAAACATGGCAAACATATCCAATCACTGCTGAGAAATATTCTGTTCAATTAACTTCAATGCTGGTGGCATGACGGATTATAAAATGTAGTATATTTCAAATTGTGTTTTACAGTATCAGGATAAGATATGAGGAGGGTTACAATTAAAAAGGTTATGTGATCAAACGGATTTCAGAAAAAAAAGTGAAAATAAATATTTTATTTTGAAGCCCTTCAAAGACTTTCTTATTGTTCAATGCCATTTAAAAATTATCTATTACACATGTCTATTACATATTACATATATCTAGAAGGGGTTAATTCAGTAGTTTATAGTAGCAATACTTAGATTTTAATGAAATAAAGTGAAAAACTTATCAGTTAACATAAAACATGCATATAAATATGTTAATTACTGAATAATAGAACTCCTGTTGAGCTGAATAAGATAATTTGTCATTGGCATATTTTAAATCATCCTTTTCACTAGCTAATATAACAAAAATATTAGTGGACCTATAAGATTTAAATCCTTCTTCAAAGGTTATCCAATTACATTGTTCAGTTAAATTAAGTCTAAAATTTCTTCAATGTAAAAACACCCTTGCTTTTGTATTTTACAAGCAAAATCATTTTGATATTTATAAATGTTAATATTCAACATTTCATTTATATAGTTTATTAAAATGTCAATTGTTTTAAAAATTATTATAAGGTCTTTTTCTCCCTGCACTTTAAAAATTAGGACAGTCTCTATTTTACTTTGTTTCACTGTGCATATTACATTTTATATTTTGAAAATAAATTTTTTAGGGTTATCAGATAAAATACAGGCACTGTTTTTGCTTTTGCTAGTTAAGGCAACTCTACTTATTTTACTCATCTTTATATCTTCAGAATCTAAACAAATACCATGCTTAGTAGTTCCTCCATAAGTGTTAGTAAGAAGAAAAAAAGAATATTTTAAGGAAGGCAGAAATACTTAGACTTCATTAACTTTGCTATCAAATGTACTATAAAAATGTGTATTATTTTTAAAAAGCCTTCCATGCTGATCATTTTATTTTACAAGTTCCTATTTAGCAGGTTCTAATAAAAATAAATTTAAATTAAATGAACTGAAGGTCAACTATCACTGACTTGAGACTTGTTTCTTTGTATAAATTGTAATGCTACTTGATATGTTTAATATCTTTAAACCATGGTATTATTCTAAAAAGATGTTATATTTTTATTAGTTTTTTTCTGAAATAATTGAGATAAATCATGTCATAAGATGTTCTCATAAATAAATACCAGTTAAAACTGCACATTTACCAGAAACCAAGCAACTAATTCACTTTTAAGAGTAGATCTAAGTAACTTATAGTGTTATAAGGGGTAAATTTCTTTTAAAAATACTTCAAATGCATTTAGAATTAAGCAGTTGCAGTTACCTTCTGTTTGATGAATGGGGTCTTGCATAATTTTCTGATAACACTCGTACTGAGCAGTCATGATTTTATTTCTAGTCACCCCCAAGAGCATCGTGTCGTTAGGGTGTTCTTCTGGTTCGGCTGAGACAAGGATCTAAGAGATTAAAACAACTTCGGAATGGTGCAGATACCTTTGCCAGAGGCGGTCTGCCATCGTGGAAAACACCAAATGCAGGAATACGCTGAATGGGAAACTGACTCTAGGAGAAAACCCTCGTTTGTGACGTTTGCATGGTCTAAATCCTCCCACCATGCTCAGTTCAAACAGCCACCTAGATGTCACCCATGGCAGAGTCGGAAGCAGGGTGAGCTCTCAGAGGCCTGGCCTGCGGTAGTGTTTGCCATACAGCCTAAACACGCATCCAGAAACACACACAGAGCTCCGCCCCAAATCTCCTCAGTGTTTCTGCCTGCTCTGTAAGTGTAGGCAAGATATTTTCTCCCTACCCACAAGCTCGTGCTTTCCTACTGTTTAATGGTATACAATAACATCGAGGTAACTATATGGAAAATGCTAAAATTACCATACTTCAGTAAGTAAAATAGTGGCAAGTTTTAATTTGTATCTCTCCAATGATCAGCGATGTTGAACATTTTTTTTTTGTATAGTTATTTGACATTTGTACTTCTTCATCTCAAAAGTGTGTATTCATTTCAGATGCCCATTTTTGAATTTGGTCTTCAAATTTGGGGGATACAATTTTTTTTAGTTCTTTATGTATTCTACATATTAGTCTTGTCTGTGGAACAGCTGGAAAAATTTTTTTCTTACTCTGTGGGTTTTCTCTTCACTGTGTTGGTGATTTCTTTTGCTATGCAAAAGCTTTGTAATAAGATGAGATTCCAGTTGTTGATTCTTTGTAATATTTCCTGGGCAGTCGGGGTTTTGTTCATAAAGTTTTTGCCTATACCAAGAGTTCTACCCATCCTCTCTTCTAGAAGATTTAGTGTTTCTGTTTTAATATTTAGGTCTTTGATCCATTTTGATTTTAGTGTAGTGTATGATGAGAGACATGGGTCTAGTTTTAATCTTTGGCATGTGGAAAGAATGGCTATTACCAAGAAATCAACCAATAACAAAGGGCCAAAAACCAAGAACCCAGGGCCTCATGGCCACCCAGTCAAGTGCCTGAGCTCCTCCCTCGGCACAAGACTTTACTTTTTCAAGCCACATAACTCAGTTTTGTCAGGAAATTTGTAGAAAATGCATAAATCAATATTATTTTTACTCCTTCTTGAGATAAAGATTCAGATTTATACTCTGTGGATAAATTCAGAAGAAAAAAGTCAGGGCGACATAAATCACCGGAATCCAACTGGGAACCGGATGGCTCTGAGCAGGGAGAAGCCCCTCGCTGGAGTTCTAAGCCACCCAAAGAATCCCAAGATGTACTGATTTGGAACTGCTGCTAGACTCGAAAATATTCGAAATGCAGAGGCTGACAGGAATGGCATCCCCCCCACACCCTCACTTAGGTTTTCTGTATTTTTCTGAGAGTCTTGGTGGGGTTTGCTTGGAAACATCAAGGGGCAATTCTTTGTTGGCACAGAACGAGATGAGATTATGCCTCAGTTTCTCATACATGTCATGACAGAAGGGCAGCGTCAATGTTTTCACTTGAAGCAGAGAAAAATATGAATAAAATATTTCAATAAATAAAAATAATTATGTAAGGCACCTGGCTACTTTATAAGAGCAATAGATCACCTTTTAGCTGCCTTTCACCACTTTCCCACATCCTAGCACATATACACAGAGCTGTGCAGGACTGCATGCTCATGGGCACACACATGCAAACACACACACACACACACACCACCTCCCTCAAATTCAACATTAATGCCTACTTATCAAATAAATGGAAGAGAAAATTAATTCAAAACACACTGCATGATTCTAAATTACCTTTCAATCAATGTACGTCAATCAGTTGGTGCAAAGAAAAAAATCAGTGAGCTGGTGGTGCTATTTAAAATAATCTAATTCAGAATCCACAGGGCTGATTAAAAATATTTTATTTACTACGTACAACTGTACTATACAGAACCATTCCATTCTATTTTTTCAAACTATGATAACTTTCTCTGGTGCCTTCCATATTTGCTTCCTTTGTTCTTCCCCAGTCTGACTTCCCCGAAACTCTTTCATCTACACCGGTTATAGCACTGAAAGCACAGCCTGAACAAAGCTAAATTGTTGTTGTGCTGGTTGGATATTATGTAATTATACATCCTGTGTCTACCTGAACTTTGTTGTTATTAACCTTTACCGATTACAGGTATATGGGAAGTAAAAGAGAAATAATTGTAAATATGGAGATAAATCAAAGGTATCTGTACTTACCATTAAAAAAGGCAAGAGAAACAAAAAATACAGGACACACTTTTTCTCCATCATTAGAGCCCAAATAAAATATCTATAAGTCAAACTGCAATGTAAAATGAAAGAAAAAATATTTTATCAATGTTTATTAAATAAATGCAGATAGTTCTCAAAAGAAAATTTCTTGTATAGTTATATAATAATTTTATTTCCAAATTAATAGTATTATATATTACATGCATTTCAGAACATCAAAGATTGAAGTACCAAAGAGATTTAACATGTTTTAGTTTAATTAAATTAGACTTATTTATAAGAAAACTTCTTTCACATACAATTTTGAGTAATTAAAAAACAACTTGCTTTTTAATCATTATCAAAATTGGGATAAAATGATTAGAGTATCAAAATTAAAAGCTTTAAGTGAACATCATATTGGAAATTTTGATAATATATTTTATTATGACATTTCCTTTTAGTTTTCTTTAAATATTGCTAAGCTAATTTATAATTCCCTCACACTTCATTAATTTAAAGGAGGAAAATTGTTCTTGGGATAGTTTCTAGAGAATCAACACATATACATCATTAAAATATTCTTATAATTTACTAGAAATTATTTTTTTCACAACAAAAATTCTTTTTTAATCAGGAAATAAATCCTTTCATAAAGCATCAAGATAATTTATATAAGGTGACAGGAGATGGAAAATATCAAATCGAGTATTTCTAGTGGCAGGCACCATTCGGAGCTAATGAACAGTGGACTCTTAAACGCCATCTACCATCTTAATTCTATCAGGCGAACCTTGCTGGGGTGTAGCTCCTACTGTCTACTTCCTATAAAGTCGAAGAGCAATGTTCTTGGACATACTATTCTTAAGATATGTGAATTGCCATGAAATAACCATAGAATATAATACTTGTTTAATTGAATATGCAAAAACTATTTTTCAAAAGCAACAAAAAGATTCTCAATAGATAGTTGCTATTGAATTCTGAACTTAGACTTGATTCTCTTAGGAAACTTAGTCATGATTTTTATTATAGGGATATTGTCCAAGTGAGAATTGTCAAACCCTTTTTTCCACCTGGTCATATTTTGTTTATTGCTTTTATCCCATGCAAGGAGAACACAGAACTGATTAGCACATGGAATCTCTGCTGTGTTCACCCTCACCAAGACTCACCTAGGAGCAGTTTCCTTGTTCGTTGGCACAATCTTCTGGATATGGTTTTCCCTTCTATTAGCTATCTTGGGTTTTTATGATTAGGTGATCTTAAGAAGAACATAAGAAAAATCAGGAAGCATTGTATTCCTCTTAAATATTAAAAATGGGGTAGCAACTGATAAAATTAAGAATCAAAATTTCCGTAACTCAGTAATTAATGACTTGATGTTTTAGTTTTTATTACATTTTGCCATGAAAAGATCTAATTTCCCAGTACTTACATGCACGATTGTCTCCAGACTCAAATCACATTTTCTCTTGGATCATATTTGACATTGTTCTGAAGAATTTCTTAAAGTCAGGGGTCATGACCTAAAATATTGATGGATTTTATAATAATTTAGTATTATGTTAATGATACAAATTATTTCCATAAAAACATAACAAGTACACACTACTCCTGTCACATTTTATTGAGCTATTTTACTTTTTTTAAGATCTCTTGTTTACAGTAGTTATTATATAGCGTATTCACTGAATGTTTCAATATGAATTATAGATATATAATAAGAATATATTTGGCCTAGAATTGTATATATTTTCTATGAGTAAATGATTTTAAAAGAGTGATTATGCTGTTTTTGCATGAAAATACTGAATATCGGCATTATTCCTTGAATATTGGCATTATTCCTTTTATCATAGGACTGTGAATATATTGTTTTTAGGTATTTATAATCTAGGTAAGTATATTTAAATTTATTGTATCTATATCTATGTAATACTAAATCATACTTCCTTAAAAATAAATTCTGTGGAGAATTTAATTATCAACCAAAATTAATAGAAAAACCAGAGAAAAGAAGATTTTTTTTGTTTTATTTTAGTTTTTGTTTCTTTTGCATACATTTCTATGAGAGTAGGTGCAGATATGATATTACAGCAAAACGCTCCTTAGCAGGTCAGTGATGACTTACTAGGGATTTGTGTTGAAAGGTGGAAAGTTATAATAATTTCAGATTCATCACTAAATTTCACTTTTACATGGAGGTTTTTGCCTGGAACTAGGAAATGGTAGTAGACAGCATAAATTGAATTATAGGCTGTGTCCAGGATCCCTGGAAATCTTTCATTTATGATCTACTTTCAGCCAAATTCCTGATTCCCATGCAGCAGAACCTGATGAAATGCCATTAGCCATCCTTATCTGTTAGGGTAACTTTTCAATACTGTAGTTGTTTGGATGTTGTATCAAGAGTAGTTTACTGTACTAAATTTGGAATGCATAAAGATTAAGGCAAATTTAAAACATTGGTAGTTCATATTTAAAATACTGACATTTCATGTTTTTCTGTATAAAATGTAGATATATATTTATATATATAAATAAAAACATAAATATTATTATTGGAAATCAGATCGGTTCTACAAAACAATGCATTGATAATTTACACAACACAGGATTCTATTACGTTTAATATGTATGTGGTCACAAAACAATTGAAGGGGACAGTGCTTCAAATATCATGTTTAGAAGTTTCCCAAACCCAACATATTTGAGAAACATTTCAGCCAACACTGCTGTAATTTGTATTGTTTATCTCTTAGATGTGAAACACAGAGTTCCAAAAAGTATCTTAGGGAGAAAGAAACGACACCCTAAGGGTTTTTATACGTTAATTTTTGGTACAATTTAGATGTGCATAATGACTACATTCATCAAGGGCAGTTGTACCTGTACATGGTATGTCTTGATTGCTATTTTTTTCCATTCCCCTCCCCTCCCTTCACTCCCTCTTCCTCTCCTTATTTACAAAAGCTTTGTTTCCATTTTTCCTTCTTTTCTAATTTTTTACTCTTTTTCCTTCCTTCCTTTCCCCCTCCCCCTCCCTAGTTCCCCTTTCCATTTGAACAATTTCTTCCTACTTCACAGTATCTATTATGCTTTTTTGTCCTCTTTTCTTCTTTTTTTTCAGTACCAGGAATCAAACTCAGGACCTTGTGCTTGCCGGGCAGATGCGGCGCCACTGAGCTACATCCTTGGCCCTGTTTTCATCCTTATTTACACTTTGAGTTTCTTAGACCAGAGAGACAATGTGATATTCACACATATGTGTCCAATTTATTTCACTTAAGAATATAATCTCAAGGTATATCCATTTACCTAGAAATATCTTGTTTATCCTTCTTTACGCCTCAATAGTACTCTATTGCATTAAAAAAAAAAAAAGTCCTTTTGATGGGCATTTGAGTTGTTTCCAATATTTAGCTATTATAAACTATGCTGCTATAAACATGGATTCAGCCTGAAGTTTTAATGCCTCCTAAATCTGCCCTGGAAATTTCCTCACATTTTCAAAAAAACCAAAATATAAAAAGATTTCTCTTTCTAAATATTTGCTACTGATATAAGAAACTCAAACTATGCATCCTTTTAAAAATGATGTTGTCTGGGGTTGACATTGATTTTGGGCTACACTAGTGTTCCTCAAAGTGTAGCTACCTGGGCCATCAACATCAGAATCACTGCCAAATCTTGCTGAAGATGTTGAAATGGCCAGACCCTACCCAAAATCTCTGAATCAGAATCTTTAGGAGGAAAACTTGAGAATCTGTATTTTTATGAAGTACCCAAGAAAATTCTTGGCCTGTCCAGTTTGCAGAAGTACAATATGAATACCTCATTCTCAGTGGGCCATGCCGAAACCTGAGTACACTTACAGTTCTCTGTTCTCAGCAGTGGCCAGACCATTCTAAAAAAGGAATATCAAATATAAAACAAGCAAAATATTCTAAAATGTTCCCAGAGATAATTAATGTCCCAGATCTTCCAGCAAGTTATTCAAATATTCATTTGAAAACATATCATATAGTCCCATGATTACTGCTTCATGTGTCTTATTTGCCCCAGCAGAGAATGAACACAGTAAGAATAAGTGAAGACGGACATCATGGTCATCTCCGCGGCTCTGAATCATCACAGAGTGACCACATAACAAGGGCATAGGGAAAGTGGTTTTTAAATACAGTAATCACCAAATTACTCACAAAATTAATTTAATCTCTTTGTAGAAACCTGATTTCTTTTTTAGGTATTCTTTACACTCTCACACATGTTATGATTTTCTGAGTCATTAAGGAAAACATTGCCTGGATTCTACTCCAAGAATTTCTGAGTCAGTTCATCTTGACTGGCGTCCAGGGATAAGCAATTTTTCAAGTTTCTCTGATGATTTAATCTATAGTTGTCTTGAGAAGTAGTGTTACAGATTAGCGGAATTCTATCATAGGCAGAATAGTAGGTGCCCAAATATTTGTGTTCTATTCCTCAGCATTTGTGATTACAGAAGTTATTAAATAAAATTATTGTCAATCACCTCGAATTATGGAGATAAGCCTAAAGGAACCACTTGAGCATTTAAAAGAGGAGGAGGAAAGATGCAATCAGCCATAGGGAGGTGGCAGAGGAAGAGGGAGCAGAAGAGAGAGCAAAGCATAAGAAAGTTAATCAGCTATTGCTGGCTCTGTGATGTAGGAATGCACATGCAAAGGTTGAGGTGAACCCTCGAGATTCAAAATGGTCCCCAGCCTGACAGCCAGCAAGTCCTCCAACCACGAGGACCAAGTTCTGCCAACAACTGAGCAATCCCGGAAGTAGAATCTCCCCTAGATCCTCCAAAAGCTGACAAAGTTCTCCCAACACTTGGATTTTGGCCTTGTATCACTTGAAACAGAGAAACCAATTAAGCCTGAAGAACTTCTGACCTATAGAACTGTGAGACAATAAAGGTGTAGTGCTGCCAAATTCATGGTAATTCATTGTGTCTGGGATAAGTAGCAAATACAAACACCCGATCAAAGCCATATCTTCTCATCAAAGCTAAGTAGTAACTTCTTGCATGCCATTCACCCTGTCATTCCCCTAGCCTTAGGCCACAGTCTCTGCCATGCAAGACAATCACATTCACTAGCAGTGCTTATTTTAAGTTGCTGCTTTATTGTATGCTTTTGAGAAAATCAACTCAACAATATTCTGCTTATTTTACTCAACTGGAAAATGAGTACAGAACTTGATCTTTAATCTGGCTCCTTGTTTTACATTGATAATTGATAGAAGATGTACACTAAAATCAGAGAAAAACAGCTTTAAACTCCAGGTCTCATAACACTTAAAATCTCTAAACTGATTTTCTGACCTGAAGATGGATGTCAAGGTCATGTCTATTACTGAAGTTTGACATGACTTGCAAATGAGATAATTCCAACAGCTGCCTGAGAGTCAAGGGTGCCTATCATTCTTTATTATAACTCATCTTGTTGGATCGTTTTATAGATCAACTTACACAGTTGGTAGAACAAACCTGCCTCAAAATAAGTATGCAGTAGCATTAGCTTATTATCTGTATCACTACGATTCTGGTAATCATAGCAATGATAATCTCCACTGAATGAACTAGAGAAGTCCAACATGTAAATATAAGTGGTTTGGCTAGGATAACAGAAAAAGTTTGCTGCTTACTCCAAAGTTAGATTTTCTCATTCTAAATATGGAGCTCTTTGCCCCCTTTCATAATAATTCAGGAAATGGTGATACTGTATTTACTTGGATAATTAAGGTTTAAAAAGTACAGGATATATTTGTATTTTGCTCATTCAATTGAATGGCCTAACCATCAATTTGACTGAATGAATGGCTTAACCATTTTCACTTTGACTCTTCATATAAATTTATACTTTACTTCTGTACAATTCCTTTTAATTCATTTTCTCAGTGATGTTCTTTAATTTGATGTTTGTGTATTTTTATAACTTACATTAATAAATGTCTTGATAACCCAGATTTACCATTCTGGTAAGTTACCAAAACGAAAACTATATGTATTGTATTACTCCTCAGCTGTTAAACATGCATTTTCATACTTATTTCAGAAATCAAATTAGTTGATTTACACTACTTATTAACCATCAGGTTTCTAGGGAAATAGAAGTGAAGTCATGTATTGTAGGAAGATAAAAGTGAGGTAAAAGTTAAGTTTCTGCCCTCAATAAAATATTTATCAAGTCAGAGAGATGACCTTATGGTCATTTTAAAGGCCCAATTCATTCCTTTTTAGGCCCTATCCATAGATTTATCCATGAGATTCTAGTAAGGAATGATTTCACCAAAATTTAACACTGAAATTTACTTTTGTGTCTCAGTTGCTCAGTGAACTTGGGTAGATTACAGACCCTCCCAGATATCTCATTTGTAAATCAAGGAAGTAAGATAAAGGTAAAATAAAAGTTCAAACTTTATATAAAAAGAAAGAAATTAGTTTGCACATAGGAATAGTTTGGTCAGAGAAAACTAATTCTTGAAATCGAGTATCTCC